AAGAAACCTTTCAAGGAAAACCAAAGAGTAGAAGAAATAAGAAAATGAAGATGTTGAAATAAAAGAGAGAGGGAGGGAGTGAGAGAGAGGGGAGAGAGAGAGAGAGAGAGATGACAGAGAGGGACAGAACAATGTAGGGAGACATTGGTTGGAGACACTGCACTTGACTTGACTGAGTTTTGACCAATTTGGAATGAAGTTGTGGTCACGTATAAAACATTTTCTGCTGCAAAAGAACGTTTGAAAATGAAGGACATCGATGTACTAGACACCTAATCAAAGAAAAAAGTCCAGTTGCAAAAAGTGATAGCATCGAATCTAACACAGATTGAAGTTTCTTTTTTTTTTTTTTGGCACTATTAAGGTGTTCCATCATGAACATTGCTTGTTTAGATCGATAATTTTATTCAGTGCAGGCAGTCTTTTGCTGGTGAAACATGCGTTGTATACCTTTCAGACCTTTCAAGCTATCGAAATACATTAGCCGAGTGCAGAGTCCCAATTGGTGTCGCAATTTTCTTCCAGTGATACAGACGTAACGTTATACTTATCAAAATGTCACTCACATGCAATACCATCCCAGGTCAAACGGCGTGAATTCAATGACTATGAAGTCGATATTATTTAAACCTTTGCCAATTGTCCACGAACAGTTTGAGCTTGAATGAGTTTTCTCAATTGAGAACTTCCCACTTTCTCCTTTTAGATCACTATGACACCCTGTGAATGAGAACCAATAGTAAGACGTATTAGAGCACAACGGCATAACCTGAATTTTTACATCTCGATATTTAATCATACATGTGTAATCAAACCGTCTATAATTCCAAATTGGACAAAAAGTACCAGATAGCAATTTCAGCACCGTTACAGGCCTACCTTTCGTATACTTTTGCTACGTAAATGTACAATATTCAGAAGAAATGATGGAAAAAGATTATGCGTAGAATCTATTAAATCAGTATGGTCGCTGATAAAAAAATATTCCATGGCAATATTATATACACTTAACGTAACCTGGACAAGATGTGTTCTACGAAGTGGTTCTCGGTATTTTTGTTGTTTAACCTATGAAAATAGGAAAATCTACCAAAGCGCCTGTCTTTATCTGAATATTTCAGTGGCCGTTAGCGCGGTAAACTGACTTCTAGTTGAGCCTCGCGTTAGTTGTTATCCTCCCCGAAATGCTTGACAACCGCAAACGTTTGCATTGAATTACTCGAGTTTATTCACGCCTTTCACTCTGAAACTTTGCTGATACATGCGAATTACATGATTTCACTTACCTTCGATTGTTACGGTGCCAAAGCTCAGTAAAATACATATCAAAAGCCAAAACATCTTTGTCCATGCATATACTCCTTCGCATCCAAAGTGAAATCGATCTTGTCTGACCCTTCTTTGACAAGGAAGTAGAGACCCAGGAATCCAAGGAATGTAATACGAGTAACAGACACTTGAATCAAGTCGACACAGATTAGACTCTTTGTTTTAGAATTGTTTAATAATTTAGCACAGGAAAATGGAATACAAATACATTCAAAATATTTTCACGACTATCGAATAGCAACTTCAAAAATACAATACTTCAAAAAGGATGTCACAAGATTCATCACATATGGCGACGCTGACACCATAACATGAGATAGCTTGAAACACACCGCTTTTCCAAAAGCCGCTGTAAGACTGCAAACAGGATTCAAAAAACGAAATGCATTACTTCTAATGTGCTCCAGGTAATTGCCATAAGGAACCTCATTAATAATTCATGAACATTTCTCCAATAAGAACTATCTATTTGGTCAGGTGACTGACACTAGTGATGTATCAGATTTACAACACGGTCGTCACCATTGAGACAGCCCAACACTAGCAAAGGTCTCAATTTTATATCGCATCACACACCTTCACTAGGTTTTGAGGCAAGCATGATAGATAGCAGCACTCCCTTATCCAACAGATGGCTTGCTTTACAGTTTAAAAAAAGCATAGTAAAAAATAATATTAAAACAATAATAATATTAAATAAAATGAATATAAAAAACATTAAAGTACTAAATCTTAAGAAATTAAATCCCTTTATTTGACAACACGGACACGGAATTCGCGACTGAGTTTTCACCTTCTCCATCCCTATTTACCGTACCATCATGCAATGCAATCATTCAACATAACGGAATCAAAACTTTTTTATTCCAAAAATATATTTGTCACATTTGTTAAATCACATCATAGTATAACCATTTTAATATACCAACAAACTGAGGCACTACCTGGATGTGTCATGGCTGAGGATTTTAGGCGTTTTTAAACACACCAAAAGTTAATATATTGATATACTTGTGCCACACGTTGAAATAATATCAAAACTATCAAAAATCTAAAAAAACATTATCAAACCTATTTGATGAATGGAAAGCAAAACTAGTGAAAGGAATTCCAAATAATGGTTTCAAATTATTCCTTTTAAAATGACTAAAAAGGATTACAATCTTGGAAAAAATCCTTGGGAATCATGTTTCGTGCTATAGGGTATCGTCTATAGTTGATCGTCTACACTCGAAACCGCCTCCTTGCACTGCCACAGTACCGACAGCAAACCGTCAACCWCACAACTACAACATTGAAAGGGGGAGAAGCGGTTTAGGCAGAACAAATATGGACGAACAAGGGTAGTTATGAACAGCGTGGATGGATATCCCAAACTCATGCGAAAGTCCCAAGACGTTTTGTCCAAGATTGTGCTCCTTGCAAAATTACTAAGCATTCCATATTTCTCAACACATACACATTCAATGCACAAAGCATTGGGTACAAAGTTTTGTTAATCTTAGTACTAGGCTCTCTCGAATCACACTGCCCAAATTCCCTCAAGAGGTCCTGGGTTCTCAGCATTGTCTCAGACTAAAGTTTTGCAATCACCATATTTATTGCTTGGAATCTGCATTTGGATTTTGAAAGAAAGTTCCATCTTGGTAGTATTCGTTCATCTCCACATTAGTACCCTCTTGTACAGTGCAAGATATTTTTGATTGCTGTCTTTTACATCTGAAGAAAGTTACACAGCTTTTTAAAATCAGATTGTGGGGGATAACAACCATCTCACGACTAAGAAGAAAGACTTATATGTGAAAATCATCTTTCAGTTCTCTAAATATAGTCAGGTAAAGGAGTCGTTATTTGGAGTAAAATGAGGACTTTCATAAACTAATTGAACTATTTAATGATGACGTCACATTATTTACTGTAATATCTGTTCTAAGGTGTCTTTGCTATGRCAATTTCTGTATGATATACATATATTTTCHATTTCACCAACCTTATTATAAGGCCCAATAGTAAAGTAAGAACAATTGTACCGCCAACTAATCCACCAATTATATAAACAAGCGAGCTATTCTTTTCAGGGTAAAAGCCAAAAGAAGTCGCTTCTGGGGACTCTGTGGTGACTGAAGTTTGAATCTGGTATCTTGACACTGACAGTATGATCTTGCCAATGTCTTTACCGATATTACCAAGTGAACCATTTATGATATCGACKAGTATAGMACCRTCAATAGAGTCACTRAGATTTGAAGGGACTTCGAGTGGAAATTTGACGTAAAATGCTACAAGAGCGTTCATGCCACCAGATGGTGCATTAGCCAGTTGTATTGGGAAACCAACAAGTTTTACATCGTTTGAAGTGAAGGTAATGAATATATTTGAGCGTCTAATAAGAAAAGAATAGGGATAGCTTACAGTTATTTTGTGCTCTCGRATCAAGTTGCCGTGTAAAAAAAATCAAATTAAGGCAATGAATTATGAGCAATAAACTTATTTACCTTTTTCCAACACTTGCAAAGATTTTSTTTTCGCAACTCATGAGCATTAGATTGCACATTATGCATTTTTTTAATGGATGAAGAAAAAGGGCACGCATGCAACACCAGCAGCACACCATACAAGATTGACTGAATGAATTACTTAAATTATGCAGCTAATTTGCGAAATGCGACATATGAGTATTAGTACTGTGTAAATGGCCACGCGGAATTACTTAATAGGTAAAATTACTACGCTTAGATAAGTATCAAACATTACCGAATGTTGTCTTATGGTATTAATGTTTTTAGCTTAAACATTTTTACAAATCAATGCATTAACAAATCACTTTACAAAAATTGACAAAATGTGTTACTCTAAGCAATCAATCCAGATCGTTTTACCTTTTGCGTCCTTTCGGTAGAAGACAAATGTTATTCTTTGCGCAAAATGCCGTAGCTTCACGCGCAACACCCTTTTTAAACACAAGATCGAGTTGTAGAGTCCACTGAAAAGAGAAAACAAATGCAATAAATGCCATTATAAAACTTATTAATAATGCATGAGCAATTACTCCAATAAGGGCTGTCCATTTAATCAGGTGTTTGAGACAACCCAACACTAGCAAAGGTCCCAGTTTTAGCATTGCATCATAGACCTTCACTGGGTTTTGAAGCAATCAAAGATGGTTAACAGAACTCGCTTATACAACAAATGGCTTGCTTCCCATGTGGGACGGACAATTACTCAAAATGTTCTGTGTGGCAGTGAATTGCGCATGCTTAATAGCGACTAAACTCAGCAGCTACCTTAATTGTAATTTTTCGTCATTTATCTCACTGTAAATCATGTTAACTTGTGTTGGAGTTTCATTAGTCGTTTACGCGGCTCGAGATTGTAATTCCCATACAACACGGCCGCTCATGTTGTAAATATTACTTAAAATTAGATACAGTAGCTTGGACCACGGGGTAGGAATCGTTTGTTTACCTCAGAAATGTCCAGTTCTTTTATCGTAACGTTAACAGAATTACGGAGATCTTCTTTGGAGGGGGTTGGTGGCTTTGGTGGAGGTTTAGGGGTTGGTTTCTTCTCTCCAATGGACAGTTCTTAGAATTGCAAGACAGAGATTGTTTAGATATGGTATAAAGGCGCTAAGCCCTTACAAAAAAAAAAGATCATCAAAAACACAATGGCTTCGCTATGTTTGATTGCGAAACCAGTGCTCTCCAAAATAACTGATCAAAGATGCGAGATATGACAGCAATTATCTTTAAGTTTTGGACTTCACATTCCACTATATTTTTATGAAATGTGACATAAATTAGCCGATAGATTTTCAGCTGGACTCAGTGCATTTTTCTTACCACGGCATCTGTTGTTAATCCAATATAAGCCCTCCTGACATCTACAATTGTAGGATCCAATGGTGTTTTCACATCGCAGCGAAGCTGAACAATTGAAGATGGTGGGAACTAGCGGTAAACTAGTGTGAGCTGCGTCGGTGTTTCTAAAGAAACAGTTATGTGAAAAGATAAATTTAACACCGTAAAAAAGTATGTGGAAAAACTTACTGACGTTTCGGATGTTAATCCTTCGTCGGAGTAAAGAGAGAGAACTAGGTAAAGTGTGAGTTTATATAGTAAGAGTAACAAAGAGAATAGACCAATAGGAGCAAGGTAGGCATGGTGACGAGAAATAAACAAAAAAGCAAAGGAAGTGTTAGACAAAAGAACAATAAAGGTGCTAAAAAGGAAACAAAAGAATTAAAACTTATCTGAAAACAAAGCGTTCATTCAACCCATGGGGATTATAAGTGCCCAATTGGTGAATAAGCCGCATTTCTTTGGTTTTGCGACAATCATTATTGCCGCTAATCAAAGACAAACCAAAAACAATAAAGTTAGAAATAGAGTGGTTGGGTAAGTTAAAATGGCGGGAGACAGGCTTATCAAGATCATTCTTACGAATACTACGAAGATGTTCACAGATACGATCGCCAAGACGACGGCCAGTCTCACCGACATACAACAAATTACAAAGCGAACATTTAATGCAATAGACAACATTAGAGGTGGTACAATCAAAGTGATCAGTGATTTTGAGTGACGAGTTAGGACCAACAATGGAAGTGTGCGAGACAATGTACGGACAAGTGTTACAGCGCTTGCGTGAGCAACGAAAAGTGCCAGGATCATTATTAGAATGTAAAACACCTTTGACTAGGAAAGAACGAAGGTTACGGTCACGTTTATTAGAAAAAAGGGGTCGGTCGTTGAA